ATAAATCAGGTTTTCCAAATTTTCTAACAATTGCCATTGCATCTTGGTATAATTGTTGAAAATATCTTGTAGATCCTATAAAACTTGATGACAATATTATTTGGTTACCAACTTGATTTAATTCAGCATTTTCATTATAACTCATATCATTTAATCCACAATATGTTTCAGTTCTTAATTTTGCTTGATTCTTAACCTTCCTGCACAATGTAATATACTACTTGTTTTGTTTGAGTCTCTAATCATAAATCTATATACCGCAAACTCTCTAATAGTTACTGTATTTCTTTTTTTTTTTGTTGAATATTTGATGATCATAAATCTTCTTTATCAGATTGTTCAGATTGTTCAGATTGTTCAGATTCAGAAGTAGTATTATCATCATCATCATCATTATTATCAATATCACTATCATTATTTTCAGATTCAACAATTTTTTTATATTTTCCTTTATTTGTTTTTTTCTGTTGAGTTTTAGATATACTACTATTATTATCATCTTTTTCTAATTCAGTTTGAGATTCAATATTATCTTTTTCTAATTCAGTTTGAGATTCAATTTCTTCTTCTATAATTTTTTCTTCACTAAGTTTACTAATACTCATACTTGTAGAAGATTTAAGAGCTATATTATCAAAAACACCTGATAAACCTGAGCTTCTTTGTAATAAATTGTTAAATTCAACAGACATTGTTTTTGAAGAGTCATCAATTTCAATAATTTCTTTTTGTTGAATTTCTTTTTGTTGACTTTTTTCTTGTTGAATATCTTCTTTAGCCTCTTGTATATAATTATTAATTCTTTGTCACCAAAATTCACTTAATTGATCTTTAGTCATACCTGCAGTTAAATTTGAATTAAAATCTTTAATAATATTTGTAGCAACTTGATTAGCAATTTGATCTTCTTCATCTTCTTCAAATTGGTCAACAATTTCTTCTTTTTTAATTATTTTAAGAAATTCTTCTTGTATATCAATATCTTCATCTTCATTTTGTTTAATTTCTTTTTATTGAACATTTGCTCTTAATATACCTTTATGCCAACTATATTCTCTAAATAGAAATAACATTGGATATTGTAAAGAATCATAAGCACCATGTAATTTTGATATTCTTATTAATGTATTATTATTTCTTTTAATAATAATATCTCTTTCATTTGGTTTCTCTTTATTACTTTCATAACCATATATTATAGCTACTTCATCTGCTTTTGGTGCATTATATATATATATTTTTTAAGCAGTCCTGCTTTTATTTATTTGAACTACTATGTAACTAATATATATTTGTACATAATTTCTATAGTATAATGCTCTAGTTTAATAAAAACTCACCAAGCACTATGCCTAGTGCGACCTGCCAAAACAATAATTCACCTCCTTTAGGATCCTTAACTTTCTAAGAATTTTGTACTATGATGATACCCCCTTGGTTGACGGTTGGCTGTTGTTTGCCATATCAAGTATGCTTAAAAATTAGATTTGATTTTAACCAGCGAAGTCCATGCTGGTTTGTTACCCCAAACAACTCATTCTTCAATTATTTTTTCCTTTTCTTTAAGAACTTCAAGTCTTGCTTCTTTTGTGCCGGTTCTTGCTTTTTTCCCTTTTTCACTTCTTTCCTCGGCTTGTGGGTCAGTGTTCTCTTTGTCAGGGTCATTTCTTTCATCCTCTTTTCTTTTACACTTTTTATCTTGTTTTTCTTTCTTGGATATCTCCATTATTCTTTCCCAATTTGACACTATTTCGCATTGAAAGTTCCATATATGCCTTCAGAATTATGTCTTGATCTTGTTAATGAATGCCTGGATAAGTTTGGAGGTATTCTTTCTTTTGCTTAGTAACGAACTAATCTTTTCTGCTCTCTCTTTTGTTATAAGCCCTTT